AGGCTGAGCATCCCAAAATCCCAATAGGGCACCCCAAAACCAGGGCTGAGCATCCCAAACCATAAGTAGGGCACCCCAAACCCAGGGCTGAGCATTCCAAACCATGAGTAGGGCACCCCAAACCCAGGGCTGAGCATCCCAAACTCCCAATAGGGCACCCCAAAACCAGGGCTGAGCATCCCAAACTCCCAATAGGGCACCCTAAAACCAGGGTAGGGCACCCCAAACCAAGGGTAGGGCACCCCAAACCAGGCTGAGCATCCCAAACTCCCAATAGAGCACCCCAAAACCAGGGCTGAGCATCCCAAACCATGAGTAGGGCACCCCAAATCCGGGGAGGGCACCCCAAACCATGGGTAGGGCACCCCAAACCAGGGTTGAGCACCCCAAACCATGGGTAGGGCACCCCAAACCCAGGGCTGAGCATCCCAAACCCTGGGTAGGGCACCCCAAACCAGGTTGAGCATCCCAAACCCTGGGCAGGGCACCCCAAACCAGGCTGAGCATCCCTAACTCCCAATAGAGCACCCCAAACCCAGGGCTGAGCATTCCAAACCATGAGTAGGGCACCCCAAACCAGACTGAGCATCGCAAAATCCCAATAGAGCACCCCAAACCCAGGGCTGAGCATCCCAAACCATGGGTAGGGCACCCCAAACCCAGGGCTGAGCATCCCAAACTCCCAATAGGGCACCCCAAAACCAGGGCTGAGCATCCCAAACTCCCAATAGGGCACCCCAAAACCAGGGTAGGGCACCCCAAACCATGGGTAGGGCACCCCAAACCAGACTGAGCATCCCAAAATCCCAATAGGGCACCCCAAAACCAGGGCTGAGCATCCCAAACCATGGGTAGGGCACCCCAAACCATGAGTAGGGCACCCCAAACCCTGGGTAGGGCACCCCAAACCAGGCAGAGCCACTCAAACTCCTCGTAGGGTACCCCAAATGCCGTGGTGCCCGGTGCCCAGCATGGGAGGTTTGGCAGCTCTTTGGGCGATAAAATAGCTTTACACTTTATTAAATATATTAAATCTTAATAATTAAATAGTTATTGTGGCAAAGCTGGTTCTGCTGAACGTCCCATCCCGGTCGTGTCCAAACATCTTCGAGCATCGGGTGGATTTTGGGATTTTGGCAGGGAGCAAGATGGGATGAAGCCGAAACACCTCGGAAAATACCAAAATATTGGCAAAACCCAAAAGGGGATTTTTTTGGGGAAGGGGGATCGAGGATGGAGGGTGGAGGA